GACTCATATTTCTACTTCTTCAAAAATATTGGTTGATAATAGAAGCTTTTCATCCTGAAAAAATTCATTTTTAACTTTTTTATGACTAGAATCTTTCAAGTCTTATCTCAGACATTGTTACTTACCCATCATTGATTAAAAAAATTCTACATCATCTAGAAGTGTAAGCCTTTCATATTTTGGATATATTTCAAATTGAATTTTGTACATGATGTGAGATAGATGTTAAGATTCATTTTTCCATATAGATATTGAATTGTTCAAGAGGTAATATTTGAAAACACTAAATTTTCCAAATGGAATTATATTTGTGCTCTTTTGTAAAAAGTTAAATGATCATATAGATATAGGTGAAATGTTGTATAGTGTATACTCTCCAGATAATATAATCGATCAATTTATGACATCAAGTATGTTAGTCTTTCATTTCAGTTGGGTTCTTGCTTCTTACTCTGTGCTGGTTAATAATTTAAATAAAATGTTTCCCCCGTTGATGGAGTGCACTTACACCTATTCATTTTATGTTTCTGGAGATCATAGAAACGCTGTCTGTAAATCTCTTCCTATACATTTCAGTAGACTTAGTTTATACTTCATATTATTATGATATAAATGCATTATTAATAAAAATGATAAAAACTTCACTGACTGTTCATTTTATGTTAAACACATGGTATCGATGTTTTATCAGAGCTCCTTCCTGTACAAATTTATGACATAAATTCATATGAGAAATTAGTACTAATTTTTCATTTACTTTTAAAGTAATCTTGGGAGGCAATTACACATTTTTTTTTTCAATTTTACAAGTGAAAGATCAGTCAGGGCAATACAGTTACTTTTCTAAATTCAAATAGCTTCAGGGATTAGTTACATGTATTAGTCTCAATATCTCAAAACTTACAGTTTAGAAGGAACCTTAATATCTGTTTTTTTAAACTCATTGTCAGTGATGCATACTGTCCCAAATAACCCAGAAGACTTCCAAAATCATGCTTGAAAACCTTTGTGACATAATTCTCATATTTCCAAGTAAGAATACATAAATTGGAAATTAAGTCTGATATCTGGATTAGCAAAAATATGAGTACTGGCTTTATTACTGCTATTCACAATATGACATTTAGTGAGTTACATAGCATCTCTAGAACCTCAGATTCTACATTGGGTTTAGGTGAGAAAATAGTTCATCCCTATCTCACAGATTTTGAGGATCAAATAAGATAGTACCAACCTCTTACATAGGAGAGATAATGGTATATAGTATATCTATGCTTTTATTAATATTATTGCTACTGTAACTTTAGGTTACTCAAACCTTTAAAGCCTTGTAAATTAAATTCTGCTTCTATGTGAGATTCATTTTTTCCATATAGATATTGAATTGTTCAAGAGGTAATTTTTGAAAAGACTAAATTTTCCAAATGGAATTATATTTGTGCTCTTTTGTAAAAAGTTAAATGATCATATAGGTATAGGTGAAATGTTGTATAGTGTATACTCTCCAGATAATATAACTGATTAATTCATGACATCAAGTATGTTAGTCTTTCATTTCAGTCTATGTGAGATTAAGAAGATGGCACCATCTTTCTTTGAATTACCTGAAGACAGCCACCTTACATCCTCTGAGTAAGCTTGTACATAGGCTTAACTTACACATCTTTCAACTACAAGTATTATGCACTTAAGATTATGAGTTGTTTAGGTCAAATATTTTAATGTTACTTTAAATATCCTCAAAAAATTGACAAAAGAATGTTTGTAAAATGAATGAATGAATGATTGGGATTCCCTTACCTTCTTGGTCATTAGTTTCTATTATCCTAGTGTCTGTACACTTAATTTCAAGGCCATAATTTTTTTCTAATTCATACTTGAATTTTTCATCATCACAGACAGATTACATAGATGACATCTAGCATTTCAATTCTTAAAAGTCATATGTCATTATATGTCATTTTATATGTTTTAAACATATACACTATCTCTTCCAATCCTCACAGCTCCTCTATTATATTACATACCATTATTTTTGTCTTAAAAAGAAACTGATTTTATTTATCAGTTTCCAAAGTATAAAGCAGTATCTACTCCAAGATGAATTACTGATAAAAAAATTAATTCTGGCCACTTCTCTTATGTAGGTTTATTATGTTGCTCTGTTCCTTTGGCTAATTTATCAACTCTTTTCTGGTGTTCCTCTTCTCATTTTTCTCTCCTAACAGGTCCCTCCACAATCTTGACAGGTTGTTATTATGAACATTTCTGCATATTAACTTGAATTAACTTATCTCTACCTCATAAACCAATGTATGAGTGACAGGTCCTTTAATGTAACTGGATGCATGAGATGCATCTGGTCTCTCCTAGTTTACGTGGGCCTGTCATACTCTATCTTAGTGTATTCTAAGATCCTTCTTTTTCCCTCTCAATAGGCGGAACATCAATTTATCCAGAAATTTCAAGACTGTTTTTGTTCCACCTCTGAAAAATATCATTGGCATAATCTCAAAGAGAAATCCAATGCATTATTACAATTTCTAGTTAGAGAAGGATGGCTACAATCTTCAAAGGAGACAGCCAACTGAAGTAGGGGAGATGGAGTGGACCCAGAAAAGGCAATGAATCTGTAGGATAACTTGATATGAACCCATACTCAGTGTTTCTATCTTGGTAGGCTTCTAAGTATGTCTTATCATCTCTCAGAATCTGAGATTTCATATATCTAAAAATGATGTTGAAAATCAAATGTGATAAATAAAATGAAAGTGCTAATTGAAGAAAATCATTCAATATATAATCATATAAGCATTTAAAATTTTAAAATAAATATAATGAACAAAATTCAATATTTTTAAAATAATACTATAGCAAAAGAAGAACTTTTAAAAAAGCATAGGATAGTATTTTTTGCTAGAATGGATTCTATTTTAATACTTTCAAACCTTTTTTAAATTTTAGAAACTTACATATTTCTACTGTAGGTTCTAAATTAATTTGGAGAGAACCATAGTAATTTTATTCTAAATTTCATCTGGAAAATTATACAATAGTGATTATGTTAATCTTAAAAAGAATAATTAAATAGGAATAATTACCTTACTACTTCAGATATACCTCTAAAGCTTATCAAAAATACTTCAGAACTATAATAAGTAAAATAATATATTTTGGTATCAGAATATAGTAACATAGAATGTATAGAAAATAGAGAAGAGGAAGGAACTTCAAAATTACAGAAACTGCCACTAGAGCATACTAGGATTTAAGAAATACAACAGGTAGCTAATCAGTCATTTCAAAAAATGGAATGAGTTAGTAAATGGTGATCATAATGTTTTCCATTTGGAAGAAAAAATCAAACTAGCTCCTCATTTCACTCACAACATTAAATGTATTTCAGATGGATTATTGACTCAATTACTTCAGTTTTATTTTATTGTGAGTTTTTTATCATAATTAAATATGTCCATCAAACCAAGTCATAACGGTACCTCAAAAGCTATTATAAAATTCAGATATAAACCCAATGGGGTTCAGGCAACCAATCCCAATACTACAATCATTTTCATCTTATACTTGGTGATTACAACAACTTTGTTGATGGACCAAACTTTACATGTTATGTTCATCCTCCTCTTAGAATTGAAGGTAGCTGAATATTCTACCAAGAATAAAACATTCTGTCATAAAGAGTATTTTGAACTGGAGGCAACTGAAAAGAAGAAGAATCAGGAAAAGCTTTATTTTGCTAAAGCAAGATGCAGATTTACAAAGATGCTCCTCCTTTTCTCTGTCAGGAACAATAAAGGTTGATCACTAGACCTTGTGGAGATAGTACAAGAGAAATCTACATAGCAGACTTTACCACCTACCCTTTTTGGGCCATTTTCAATTTGACATTGCCATTGCTGCCTGTAGTGACTCAATAATTTGCTGCCTGTAGTGACTCAATATCACTTAGCTTTGTCATGTTAATTCTATTAATATGATTTTTTTGAATATGCTATATATGGTGTGATTTAAAACCATCACTCCTGCGACTTTGCTAAACTCTCTTATGAGTTCCAATAATCTCTTACTGGAGGCTTCTGGTCTTTTTAGATGCAACTTTCTCTGCATCTACTGAGAAAACCATATGGCTTATATTCTTCAATTTGTTAATGTTAAAATTTATCAATTTGCATATGTTGAACCATCTCTGCATACCAGGGTTAAATCCCATTTGATCTGGGTGAATGATCTTTTGGATGTGTTGTTGGATTAGGTGAGTTAAAATTTAGTTGAGGATTTTTGCATCTATGTTCATCAAGGATATTGATTTTTAATTCTCTTTCTTGGTTGAATCTTTTTTTTTTTTTGGTTTTGAAATTAAGGTGATGCTGGCCTCCCTGATGGAATATGGAAGGATTCCCTCCCTTTCAGTTGTTTTGAATAGTTTGGGAAGAACTGGAATTAGATCTTCTTTAAAAGTTTGACAGAATTTATCAGGGAGGCATTCTGGTTTGGGGAGAGTCTTTATTACTGATTGAATCTCTATCTTGGTTATTGGTCTATTTAGGTTTTCTATACCTTCACAACTCAATACTGGTAGATTATATTTGTCTAGAAATCTATTCATTTCTTCTAGATTTTCCAATTTGTTGGTGTGTGATTGTATTAAGTCTTGATGATTCTTTTCATTCCTATAGTATCTGTTGTACTATCTCCTTTTTCATCTCCCATTTTATTTTACCTTCTCCCTTTTTTGGTTAGTTGGATCAATGGTGTATCAATGTTTTAAATTTTCAATAAAAAACTCTTCATCTCACTGATTTTTTTAAGTTTTTTAATTTCTTCTGCAACTTTTATTATTTCTTTCTTCCTACTTTTTTTGGGTTTGGTTTGTTCTTGTTTTTCTGAATGCTAGACACACATTGATGGATCACTTATTTGATGCATTCCCAAGAGGGTAGGGAGGAAAGAATCATAATACTTTTTTTTTTTTTGGGGGGGGGGGGAAGCACTTTAACACTTTAATGCAGTTCCAGCCGCTTCTCCGGTTCATTTCAGCTCCTTCATGGCCAGGCCTGGGGGCAGGGACTGCTTCAGCTTCTCGGCCTTCTCCTTGTCCATGATGACCAGCGTGTAGAGGTAGCGGCTGTAGCGCACCTTGAACTTCACGTTGTCCTTGTTCTTCTTGATCTTGACGGACTTGGCATCCTTCCGCCGGGCCGTGAGCAGGAAGTCCTTGATCTCCTCGATTTTCTGGGGCATGGCGACCAGGCCGCGGACCAGCACCCACTTCGCCCGAACACCACCGGGAAGCGACTCTTGGCAGCAGCGAGAAGGGAGAGAGGCGGAAAGGAGAATCATAATACTCTTAAACTGTATATATGAAATTTGTTCCCTTTTACAAAACTAAAAAAATTAAAGCCAAAAAAAGCCACTTCTCTGAGTTATTCTTCCCCTAATTTCCTTTCATGTATAAATGCATACTAATAAACTTCTGCTTGTTTTCTCTCTGCTTTTTAAAAAAGATTTATTTATTTATTTGAAAGGCAGAGATACAGAGAGAGAGAAGAAAGAGCGGGATCTTCCAGCTGCTGGTTCACTCCCCAAATGGCCACAATGACCAAGGCTGGGCAAGGCCGAAACCAGGAATCAGGAGCTGCTCCCAGGTCTCCTATGTGGGTGCAAGGGCATAGCTACTTGGGCCATCTTCCACTGTTTCCCCAGGCACGTTAGCAGAGCTGGATTGGAAGTGGAACACCCAGGACTAGAACTGGTGCCTACATGGGATGCCAGCACAGCAGGTTGAGGCTTAACCTTCTACACCAAAGAGCTGGTACCCTTGCTTTCTTTCTTGCTGACCTTTTCTTTTCTGTTTTTGGTTTTGGTTTTGGTTTTGCTTTTGCTTTTTGTCAGAGAGATTGCATCTAAGAACTCAAAAAAGTAGAAGGAAAATAATTTAGTCCTTCCCTCCATTATAAACTCTGAAGTCAGCCATCCTCAAAGCCAGTCTACTTTTTTTTAAAATGTCTTCAAATACATTAAGTTCTAATCATAGGTAAGATTTTAGTTTTCAAAACGATCTCTGATTCAGGCATAAATCCACATTCTATACTAACCTAAAATAGTCCATCTGTCTCCTCAGAGTTTTTTTGTGACTAATAATCAATGCTTAATTAATTTGTTGAAATAAACAATCTTTGCATGTAAATTCTGTAACACCCAACCCGCTCATGAATCTCTAACATATAAAGCTCAATCTGCTGATGTTAGGGCTATCAACACTAACTTATACCTCCCAGGAATTAATATCATCTATTGCAGCTGTTAGCAAAGATTTTCCGTAGAAGTGTGAAAAGTAAATATTTTAGCTTTATTTGCCATAGAGTCTCGGTTACAACTACCACAGTCTACTATTTTAGCACCATAGATAGTATTCAGGCAAATTAGTGTTTCAATAAAACTTTCTTTACAAAAGTAGGTGGCGAACCAAGCAATTGCTGACTACTGACCTAATCTATACTGAGTACTTTCATCTGGCTTGTCTTCCTAAAACATTTCCAAACTGCTGGTCATTCACAATTTCAAATCAAATCAATAAAATAGCAACTTAGCAATAGTTATTTATAGTAATTACTTTGTAGTAA